GGTGATTAGCATTAGGCTAGATTGGTAAAACTTTATCGACATTTTCTTCGGTATATAAAAAATATCAAAAGCATTCACATAGCTCACTTTGACTAGTCGTCAGTGTAAAATTGTAGATTTATATTTTTTAGGTTTAGGATATTGTGAAGATGTGTACCTCTGCAGCCTCTCTGTGTAGTGTAAGAAGATAATCTGAAGTATTTTATGCGTAATTGCATTGTAGGTAGTTACTGCAGTGTGGATTCTCTTCTTAAAATAATAGCTGAAAATCCAGATTAGTGAGTGACATTCAACTCTTCTTTATCGGCCTACCTCAGTCGAAAGAACAAAGATCGCAATGCTGCTCAATAAAAAATGTTAGAGGGATTTCAAGCACATTCCTTCCGTCTCTGGATGAATTGGGTAATGCTGGTTTACGAGTTCCTACCATTGAGTTTCGCAGAAAATAAACAGGGAGGGAAACGGTGGTAGCTGGAAGGAAATTTATATTTCAATACAAACTAGAGTGGAAGGACAACAAACTTTTAAAAAATATTTTTGAAAGTTGTTTACCAAAACATCGATGCAGTAATTAACCACTGTCTTTTCTCATGTTGCACTTATATTGCATCATTGCTACTCTCCCCTTTTCCGCATTAATATCTTTTCCATTCATAAACCTTTGGGGAATGGATAAATTTTAATATGTTCTGTGTTTTAAAGACATAAACATCGTCAACTGAGTGTTAATTGACATTTAAACACTGAATTTCGTCGTCTCGCTTATCTCGGAGTCTTTTCGGCTATATGCAAAGTGTATTAGGATAAACGTTCTGATTCACAACATCACAACATCGTTTGTGAACTTCAAGACACATGTATAAAACCATCGGTTGAAATGAACGAATGAATATAGTGAAATAAATTGGACAAATGTTTGAAAATAATATTCGGAAGCTGGACTGACAGCATTTCATTTTAATGTCTTATGACAAGTTTGATGACCATTTGAACGAAAAATACCAGGACACGTACTTACACCATATACATATAAGCTTGAGATGAAATTTAATTTTCAAAAGTGTCAAATTCGGGTAAAAATGAATATGCCATAGCTTTCCATTTTTAATAATCAGAATTACAAACATTGAGTGTTGTTTTCTGATACAAACTTATTTACTAAAATCATGGGAAATAAGTCATAAATAATTACCAACTGATAAGAACTAGTGTGGTCAAGTGACTAGACTGTCTATGATTCATCAGACATTACCAAATATCTAGAACTGTAGAGAAGGAGCAAGAAATCGATTAGTTAATGCTAGCTGATGAAAAGATAATGGTTATTGGATATTGTACCCTAGGTGTTTGTTTGTATACACCACGCAAATTATTTTTGCTTACCTTTTTTATTACTACGAATACGAATGAATTGGGAACTTTAGTTTTAACTTTTTTGAGATAAATTACACACACATTCCTCACTTACGTCTTACGAATGGAGAGAGACCTCCGAATAATTACAAGTTTTACTTCATCAAATGTGTCAAATGACTTTTTACGGTTTCCGGTTTACAGTTGCTTTCGTTGCTTCAGAATAATCGTTTTAATTTGCATTTTTGTCCCACATGGTTGGTGATTTTCAGTGTACTTTAATTTTTAGTGCCTTGTGAGCAGGTTGTTACACCTGAAGTATCGATTTACGATGAACTACCGGATGCACATACTGGCAGATTTGTTTACCTTGAGAATAAAACCGTCTTAATAAACGGTTTGGTAGGAGAAAAAGTTGTTATACAGTGCAATGTTTTCAATATGCCTCGTGGAGCCAGGGTATTAGCTTACATATTAAGTGTCTTTTAACCGCAAACATAGATATTTTGGCGGAGAGACAGTTTATATGGTGATGAAGTTTCGGAAGTAATCAATGATGGTCTTATGTCCCGTGATATGTCTAGATGGGAAGTTGGTCAAGGAAAGCAGCAAGACTCCGTTCGGTATGTTTTAAGTTAAGACTGCAGTTTTCATATTCAAACTATCATTATTGGTAAAATATCAAATACTGTAATACATTCAATTCAATCAAGAGTGTCGCCCATTTTTTAATGTCCAGTCTACGTCTTGGTAAAAGCTTTTGAGTTTTTTTAAGTTCTGCCCTAAAGTTAATTTTTCTGGTTACCTATGTGAAAAACTGTTTTGTCGTCACGCACGTTTGTGTCTGAATCTATGTAAATTGCGAATGACTGATACTCACATTTTTATGTTCTATTGTACGAAGTTGTCAGAAGGCTGGTAACTCCAAACACTGTCTGCTGACTTACTTATACGCATAATTCATAAGTATGAAATGGGTGACGACATTTTATTGTTGAATATACTGATGACTCAGAAAAAGTATATGATATACTGGAGCTAGAATTTTTGAAAATCTGACTGCGCATCATTTTTGTGTCGAGATTTTTATAAAATTAGTAGGATGTTTCGAGTTAAAGAATTTACATTCGCTTCACTGATGGGACTCAATCTTATCTCCTCGCACTTTATTAGTCGAATGAGATTAAAGTATTTGACAGGAAGGTATTTCACACGTAATAGTGTTGAATACTTCATGTATGATAGTTCTAGCTGAAAGAGCATTTTTTCAAAAATAAAGTCTAGGAGTAGAGTATTACGTTTCTGTTTTCGTATCTTATCATTCAGTGACACAGTCTCGTCAAAAGCAGTCATAATTTAAAAGCTCTATGTCTATTATCCACTGCAAACTTAGATTTAGAAGTGTCAGTCATTCACCTTTTATCATTATGAAGTCTGATAATAAGGTCTCATGATGATCTGTAAAAAAAGGTTTGCTCTACGTTTTATTTTATTCCTAATATTTCTTAACTGTGTATACTTTTTGGTACAGTCTATGTTTACCAAAACACTTACTTGAGTACAGTGCACCTATTTTAATTACGCGAGGTTTCATAATTTGTTACTATAGGCTACTTCTTGTAAGTGTATACAACTAACCAGTTTTTTCCATCCTTTTTTCTTCCAAGTCATTAACAGAATCCATATTTTTCTTTTGTACCAATGACTACTTAATTTTGTGGTTGAAGTTTGGTTCCTACTGCCTATGACCAGGTACTTTAACATCGATCCATTCAAAGATAGATTTTATGAGGAGGAGGAGGAAGAAGAAGCAAAATAAAAGAATCAGGGTTTCCGCTGAGAAAGATATTTTTTCTGGAGGAAATTTTTTTCCAGAACTAATATCAATAGTAGAATTTTTGAAAACAAAAGAGATCTACATGTCTGATCCTTTCTAATTTATAGTCACTCAATGAAGTCACATCCACAACGTCACTACCTAAGTGAACTCACGAAACGCATATTTTTGATAGGCATCATACATGTAAACCTCAGCTCATTTTTGAAATTTCAGTAGTTTACCAATTTAGGACTACCTTTTATCTAATAACATTTGCGATCAGTTGTCTAACTATCAATGTGATTTTCTTGTTAATCACAATGTGATACTGAGTAACGGTAAAAACCTTTATCAGCTTTCGTATTTCTTTTTCATCTACATGCAAATATACATGTGTTTAATACCGTTATTGTGTGTATTTGAAGTTTAGAAATCATGTCTTTGGATAAATCATACGAAGGTAAATATACCTGTGAATGTCAGTACACTGGGTCTGTGGAACCAGCAAGGGTTCATAGAATACTACGTGTGTTTGGTAAGTCGAATATATGCATATATATCTCTATAAATGTATTATCTGTCAATTAAATACATTAATCGAGGTAATAAAATCAACAATTTACAAAAACCGCGCCCTCAAGAACTGAAAATCATCTTAAATAATTCCCATATGTGTTAAGGGGTATTAAAGAGGTATTCTCATCATTTTGAAAGCTCTTTGCTCTTACAGTACTAATCTAGTTGAAACTTATGGAAAAATGTTGTCAGAATAAGTAACACCAAATTTTGTTTATTAGAGCTGTCCTTTTTCCTCATTTTTGTTTAACTTTGTCATAGATAGAACTTTTATACATAGAAATATAATCTTGAGAAACTAACCTCCTAACAAGCGACTTGCTTACAGATATAGAATACGCAGCTGATATTGTATTATTTTGATAGAACCCCTACATTATAAAATTACCTAAACACCTTGGGCAAAAATAATAGTATGTTTGAAATGAAAAATATTGCTTCAAGAAAAATTTTTTTAAGCATATCTAGACTAATGATGTAGATTAAACTAGTTGATAACACCAATCAATTTATTTATCTTACATGTCTCGTTAACTCTTGTGGGTTAGTGGTGTCTTACAAACTGCCTGCATTATTTAACTTAGCTCGTTAGATATTTGTAAACGTACACCATATATAGCAAAAGCGAAATGTTGGTCTTTAATTCAAAGGACGAATATACTGGACAAAAGTGTGTCTGTTTAAAATTATAGCCATAATAGGAGACCTATTAATCCAGGTCATATTTGTCTGTTTGTAGTATGTGATAATAAATGTCTTCAAAGCACTTATTTCGTATGCTGGTACCGTTGAATCATCTATATAAAGATTATACCTGAATACTAGGTGAAGATGACAGGTTTGTTAATGACGTAGTGTGTCTTCATCAACCCTCAGCAGTTTCAATACACTGACGCGGGAGTGAGTCGGAAGAATGCTACAGCCATCCAAACAGCCAAATGCTAGCAATCCACGAATACATGGGCTGTTGGACTGAAACGTTTTGGTTGGTGTATATTATCTGATTCGAATCCAAGCAGTTATCATAACTAGTGGTTGATGGTGGATGAAATGGCTCAAAATCAGCGGTGAAAACATAGATGTTCTCAATTTTTACTCTTTGTAAAATCTTGAGTCTCAAAATTACCTGATATATTTATTTCCATCAATTAATTCTTTCTTTAAGAATCATATTGGCTATGTCCAAACTTTTCTGCTATCAGTGATATTGTTACTATTTCCAAAATTCTAGTTTTATCTTGATAACTTCATTTGGTTGTGCTCGTGTTGTTTAGCTGCCTGGATCGGCTCAGGAATGTACTAAGCTGCTTATAAATGAGTATCTGGTGGTAGATAATACACTTTCAATGGTTTCTGTCAAAGTTCACTTTCAAAAAATTGTGCCTAAATTATATAATCCTTAAGCTTCGATTTTTCCACTTGACACAACGCGGTGGTGTTTTATGACTAACGATACTCACTATACAACTTTTGTATAGGTTAGTTAATTTGAGAAGAGGCCTTCTATTTGATTGTTCTTTGAATAACGTTATAAAAGCTTAAATACCTTATGGTCGGGTATTTGAAAATTTCTAGCATTTTTTAAATGATAGTTTGGTTGCGATTGATTCTGATGTAGAGCTTACCATTTTAGTGGCCCACTCTCTGACTCCAATATTTATGAACAGTCGGATATGCTGTGAAATAAATCTCCCCTTTAGTTTCCGTTTATCATACTTTGGTGAACCCTGTTTGTGCAATGGTGGTAATGTTAAGCTAAATACAGATTCAGTTGGATTAGTTTACTTCAGGCAATTGTCCGTAAATACGTGACAATACGGATGTCTCTCCCCGCCTGCCAACACTGTGGAAGACAAGCCCTATGGGCTTGACATAAAAGTACATGCACTGCAATGGTAAAATATTTTAAAAAGAATCTAGTTATTTGATTTCGTAATTAGTTACTAGTACACTTGATTGTTCATCAAAATTTTCAATTTAAAAAGAAATTCTAAAGGTTTTATTGATTTCCTAAAAGTCATTGGCTGACTGAAATGAAAAATTCCCCCACCGTGATCTACATGTTTATCGACACTATCCTATGAATTTTTTTTCCAGCGAAACCAAACATTGTTCGACATATGTCATCTTATGATACAGATGCAGATGCTGGTGATCCAGTGTCATTACACTGTAATGCAGATGGTATTCCGCCACCGTTTATCTACTGGAGACGTACAGCTGGAGCAAGTAGTATAATACGCAATTTTGGTTCAGTGAAAAGTGTAAGTACTGAAAATCGCATAATAATTTGAACTTAAACAATAAAATAGTTTGTTGATCATTCAAAAGAACCTAAATTATGTAATATTTAAATTGTTTGGTAATGTTTTGGATTGTTAAATTAAGTAGAATTCTTTTTCTAGTTTAGACTACCATCAGAAACCTGGAAGCTGTGGACGGCAGTTTCATCCTAGTGTGGATGGTGAGCATTGGTTTCTTCACATCCAAGGATTGAACCTTAGACCTTCAATATTCCGCTCATATTCTAGCCATAGTCAGTTTTTGACCAACTGTTTACATGTGGGGCAATGAAAAATCGATATACTACAAACTGATGAATACTCATCCCATTTGAATTTTCCTATCACTTTCTTAAATGACACTTCAATCTGATAAAGATAGGTTTTAGATATTTTGAGGCGATATTCAGAGAAGTGGCTTAATATTTTGATGTTTACAACTGTTTGTGATTCACTTTCATCGATGCATGTCTTATTTTGGCAACTATGTAATACAATGACTGTGGCTATGTGATAATTGTAGAGTGTAATGAAGAGTTTATCATAAATGATTGTTAATTGAAATAACCAGTAGGAATTCCTGATCGTTTACATACATCACTTAGCATAATTAACTAAATAAAACTGAATTTCCATGAAAATGAACATTAATTGCTTTATGTCATAAACTTTTTGCTAAGAGTCCACACTCGAATGGTTATTTTGCAACGAAACGTTATCTACTCATGAGTAGTTAAAGTTTCCAGAATGAAATAACTAACATTAGTAAGTCATCTAGTTTAGAGTCAGTTAAACTTAATGTATTTTTATGAAGAATTTAAGATTATTTTTTCCTTATCCTAATTTGTTCTAAACAACCTAATTTGTTTACATTTTCTTCGGAATATTGTTTTGTTCAAAATTCAAAACAAATAAAGCTGGCATAATTCAATTTCATACAATTTTTCGCCATTCTCATCAGTTTTAACTTTAAACACAAATAACAAGCGTAACAGAATGAGATAAATTCATTTTTATCTTTTAGTTTCCATTCAGCATATGTAAACAAACTAAAAACAATCGTAATAATAATAATAATTCACAAACTAGTGTACATGATTTATATCATATTAAAGTAGTGAATAATAAAATAATAACATAATAAATTTTTGGAAGACTTTTTATATGAATAATGTGGTTGAACAGATGTATGTTACTAAATATAAGGATGCCAATCGATGTTAAAGCTAATTCACAGTAACAATGAAGACAATGTATTTACAATTAAAATTTTTGAAATTGGATATTATTCAGTTGAATGATGAAGAATAGAAGTCCTTATTGTAGCTGCTACATTGACTGCTGGTCAGGCTTGCCTATCATGATGACCCAATCGAGCTATATTGGCCGAAATGCCTGTTCCTTCAAGTCCAATATACGTGGCAGGTCGATTGTAGAAGTCTTACTTCTAACTGAAGAGAGGTGTTTAGCAGTAGTAATGGGTTTCCTTCGGATACCCGGCATCTAGAGCAATGCTTTCTTCTTACAACGGGAGGAAGTCGTTGGAAAAGGTCGACCCTGAAGATTTCGCACCTCACCTTGCCCGACGGATTCCCGTATCCCGCGGTAAGGCCATTTCTGGAGGGCAGGTTTCGCTTCAAATAATTCCCTTAAAAATATCGTGCGTGACCGACCTCAAGCAGTTGTCCCTTGGGCACTGTGGTCATATTGGCAGATCGTTAAGATCAACACTAATCTAATTTCCTTCCTAGATTCCCAATATAGGCAACAGGAAAGTAACATTAGCCTTCATGCCCCTCATAGCACACGACAATAAAAGTAATCAGATTAACACAAGTTGGGTTTCAACCTATGTATAGTGATGGCTTTAACAAATCATAATATATTCAAAGTAGTCTAAAATTCTTCGAAATAATCAATACTTAAAGTATCAACTTTATGTTCAATGTCATGAAAATGAGATTGAAAATTCAATGTATTTTCAATATTACAATTTGTTCGTCAGAGTTGATATGATTTATTAATAATGAACAAGTAAAGTTCTTCTAAATATGAACTCTATGCACTGAAAAATAACAAACAATGTTTTAAAATTATCACTAAACTATGAAATATAAAAGCAAAGGCAATAAATGAAATAAAAATAACTTGATCATCATTATAAAGAGACAAACTGAAATGAACTAATGTTTTGTATTTTGAATTATCAACTTGATCATAAAATAGAAAACATTAATAAGATTAAAAATGGTAAAAATGAGGTAGAAAATAGTGAAAATGTTGTGAAAATATTGAATTGGACAGGAAAGTTGTACTTGTATTTATCATTACAGGAAAGAACTAATACTTATTTTAAAAAATATTTTGATAACCTCAAATCATCTTGACAAGAGAAAGAAGTTTGATGCTTCAGTTAGTTTAATCTTGGATTCGTTAAGCAGAGTAGATAGAAAATGATGAGAAGTGGAATCAAGAACACGATTTCCGTACTATTTCGGACTTGTCAGTTGAATATACTTATATTTCAGAGTTGATGTTCACTTTAGAAC